TTTTGCTATTAGGGATATTTCCTGATTTTTATGTAGTTTTGTTAATAAGTGTTTATACCATGCACAGATAGATACCTGTTTCTTTTCATATTATGCCTTTTTTTTTTTTTTTTACATGATTAGGCATTCTTTGAAAACCTGGGTTTTAATGGCTGTATGCATAGTAGCCCATTGTTTGGAAGGCTTACAAAGTACTTCACCATTAAGTCCACATTTTTGCAATTATGAATAAACCTATAGTGTTGTTTCCTTACCTGATGAACTGGGATACATTTCTGACAGTGGGATTACCAGCTTAAAGGATATGTGGTATACATAGAAAATGAACAGCTTTAAGACTGTAATGATTTGGGGTCAGATTCTACCCCAAGAAGGTGGTGCCAAAAGTATTGTCTCACCTTTTACTTAATCACATCTAGGCATTCTATTTAAAGTTTAGTTAGGGGATCCCTGGGTGGCTCAGCGGTTTGGCGCCTGCCTTTGGCCCAGGGCGCGATCCTGGAGTCCCGGGATCGAGTCCCGCGTCGGGCTCCCGGCATGGAGCCTGCTTCTCCCTCCTCCTGTGTCTCTGCCTCCCTCTCTCTCTCTCTCTCTCTCTCTCTCTCTCTCTCTCTCTCTCTCCTCCCTCCTCCTGTGTCTCTGCCTCTCTCTCTCTCTCTCTCATAAATAAATAAATCTTAAAAAAAAAGTTTATTTAAATGATTTCCACACCCAACATGGGGCTCAAACTCCACATCCTAAATAAAGACCAAGAGTCACACACTCTTCTGACCAAGCCAGCCCCAAAGTGTGGAGAATTTTTAAGCCATATTTTATTTTAACCACTAGTCTTAAGGCCATACATAGCTCAAATTAAAAGGCGAATTGCATGAGTCATTTTATGAACTGAATTAAATCTTTTTTTTAAGATTTTATTTATTTATTCTTGAGGCAGCCCGGGCAGAGACATAGGCAGAGGGAGAAGCAGAACTGAGTGAAATCTTAAATATCACATATATATTAATATTTGAAGAAAAAATACATAGCTTCTGTGGTCTCAGCTTTCTCCAATGGTTATTTGAGATTATGTTTCTGTAAGTCACCTCTGTGCCTCATGCTGTGAGGTGTCGATACTGTAGAGAACTGGGCCAAGAAATAAAGGCAGCAGGCTCTTCATTTGCTTGTTTTTTAATTGGTACATATTCCTTGAATTTTTTTTAATAATTACTTGTAAGTTGCATGGAAAACAAAAAGCCAGTGAGACTAGAGTATACATTTGGGATCTTGGGAAGATGGTTCAGAGAACAGGTTCATTTTGACCCATCACTTAAACTAAATTTTATAGATCAGTGTTAGTTTATAAATTACCAGTATTACCTTAATTGATTTGAACAGACTGCCAGAGTCACTAGAAAGAATGTGAGAAACAAACTTAGGTAATTTTTGAAGTCATGTATGTATGCTCTACTCTTGGAGTCCAGGTGTGGTATGGGCATATTTATATTACATTTATCTTATTCTTTAATTAGAACCATGCTTCATCCTGCTGTTTTTATAAAATGGTAGAATTCTGGGGACTAGGTATTCTGGAAATGCCCAGGGTTTTTGTTTAGCACAAGGTGTCCAGTGATTTGGAGTTTCAGAGCAAAGCTATCAGCAGCCCATAATTAATAGGACCATAGAATGTTCCATCTGGAAGGTATCCTAGGGCTAATCAGTGGTGTATCAGAGGTTCTCCACCAGGGAAGGAAATTTAGTCTAAGTGCATGGGCAGGAGGATGTTGCACTAAGCCCATTATAGAATAAAGTGCAAAATTAAAGGAAATACTAAGACAAGCCATCACATGTCAAGGACATGTACTTATACCACCTGTAGCCCTGGGCCATCCCTGACCTTGGATGAACTAAGTTCACTCATCCTTGCTTTTAGTATCACTTTGGTGGAGGATAAAAAGTTGAGCCCAGCTTTTCCTTTTACTGACAGAGAAGTAAGACCCAGAGAGGTTAAGGATCCTACCCACCTTACATAAGAAGTTATTTTGCATAGTGGGAACTGCAGCCCATGTGCCCTTACTCCTAGTCCAACACTACTATTTAGCAGGCGTATCTTATAATTTTAAGAACTGTATTTTTCACATACACAAATTGTGTTTCATATGAAAGTTTTCAGTGACACTGGATTAGAGAGTACCTCAACACTGGCTCATGGCTTATTGAAAAAAATCTGAAAGACAAGTCTTATGAAAATTTCAGTGAGACTGGGCACTCAGAAGCTAGTTGTGTCCTGTGGAAGGCTGACTGGCTACTTCCAATCAGTAGGAAGCCCAGCTGAAGTGCATGGGGCTGCAGGTCAGGGAGAGGGAGGGGGAATTGCAAATGTTTCAGGCCAAGGCCATAGCAACAGAAGGGTATCCCTTCTGGTAGAGATCATTAGCACCAAGGATAGTAGTTTAATTGTTATTTATACACATGTAATTACTCTCTTCTCTCTACTAGCCACTTTTCTGTTCTCTTACAACACCTAGCACAGATAGGGTTGTAAATAGCACCCCCTTTTTTTGTTAAGGTTTTATTTATTTATTCATGAGAGACACAGAAAGAGAGAGGCAGAGACATAGAGGGAGAAGCAGGCTCTTTGCAGGGAGCCCGATGTGGGACTTGATCCCCAGGATGCCAGGATCACACCCTGAGCCGAAGGCAGATGCTCAACTGCTGAGCTACCCAAGCATCCCTAAATGGCACCCTGTTAATACTTACTGAGTTACACTTGTTCGTATGGGATTGTGTATTTGTGGCTGTGTACGTACACATCCATGCTGAATTTTAATGTTAGTACTCTGTTTTATGGGAGGGAAAATAGAGCTCAGCTAACCAAGTTCTTGGGTTGCCATAGAACTCAACCTGCACAAGGACAGTTTGTGGTATATATAATGTTTTCATTTAAATGCTTATGGTGGTACCCCATTGATTAATCCACGTACTAGCTCATTAATAGGATGAAATGTTACGGCAGAAGAGATATTCTGAGAAAAGTTGATCAATCATATAGGACTCTATAGAACTTGAAGTCATTAATAATACCAATAATTTTTTCATCTGTCCTGTCTTTAGAATTCACTTGAAATTATTGAGGATTTGGGGGGAAATGTGGTCTCATGCTATGATTGCACAAATGAATAATTTTGAGGTTTTAGAATACAATCTAGAAATTCATTTTTTGAATGTACATTGAATATTTGAATATGTGAATATGGCTGAATGGAATGAATATTTGCCACAAACAACTCACTAAAAGGAGAATGTGCGAATCAGTTGCAGCTGATAAGAAGGGATGGTGGCACACAGTGTGACTGATGCTGGCATTTCAGTGTCGAGTGTGCACTGAAACTGAGAACAGTGGTGAAGAAGGGGGAAGAACCCTTGTTAGAAATCTTTATTTATTTATTTATTTTTAATTATTTTATTTATTTAGCTTTATTTTTTTAAAGATAATCTTTTCTAAAAAATACCCCCATAGTGTTGCACATGACTTTGTACTCTTCTGAATAGTTTTATTTAAAATTGTTCTGCAAATTCAAACTGGTAATTCCTGCTCTATGAAAGAATAAAGGAGAGCAGGAAGTAGTATGTATTAAGCAAGAAGCTCACACTGTTTTTGCTGAGTCCCCACAAGGGTCCTGAGAGGTAGCTTTCATCTTCTAAGTACACCAGCCCTGGGGCTGAGAGTTTACAGAATGGCCCTTTCCCCAGATCCTGCCTGCAGTCTGCTTCCATGGTCCGTGATCCTTTGATATGTACCTGCTTTGCATGCAACCATAAGCTCCAGAGGCAAGCCCATGTCTGCTTTTGCTCACTGGCATGAGCCCATCCTGGGTCAGCCCAGGAGGGTTTCAGTCTCCTGCGCATGCACCTTAGACGACCCATGTGAAGCTCCTGGCTCACCCCCTCCTTAACCCTTCCTCCAAAATAAATATGGTGTAGTACACTGAACTTCCCAAGGCAGAAACTATATTAAGTTTCACAGAAATGGACAGTAATACCATCAGTCACAACCCCCTGCCCAGTTGTTACAAATGAAAATTTCAAAGTTAGCCAAAAAAAAAAAATGAAAGAATAGAACAAGCCACCTCCTCCTGGATTTACCAGTTGTTAGTGTTTCACTGTCCCCCTCTTCTCTTTTCTCCTTCCCTCTCCCCCTCTCTGTACACAAATGTGTGTTTAAAAGTTTTTTGGCTGAACCTAGGTTGATGTAATCTGAGGTGTTCCAAATTCTAATTGTTTTTTAATATTGTTTTCTGAAAGGACATTATAGACATATTTTACTTCTTTAGTCTCTTTTAATCCAGATAGCCCTCAACCTCTCTCCCTCCCCCCGCCCCCCCTTTTTTTTTTACCATAACATCTCTTGGTTTGATTCCGACTCTGCCATTTAGACTATGAGGTAGGATCATTTGTAGAAATTCAAGTCTGGATGCATGGGACTGCCTTCAAACACTCAGTCATTGGAGATGGTTTCTGCTGCTTGTTGCATCCCTTTTCAGATCTCCCTTGCAGGGAAAACACTTCAGTTAAAAAACACTACCACTCCCCGTGCCAGTGTTAGAAGACACAGAAGACACAGACAACCACTACACTTTGCTCTTCAGTGTGCGTCAACACATCCATGGTGGGAGTGTGCTAATGGTGTTAGGAGAACCCTGACGTATCCAAGCTTGTTGATGCGATGGGGATAGCATTTGGTATTTAATATGAAATCTGAACAGTGTAATGTAAGGCCGAACAATGCACCTATTAAACTGTAGAGCCAGGAAGTAACTTAGTCTGTGGAAGGAGGGTTTGTAGCAGGGGAATACCACTGCTCTTGCTAAAATGATTTTGAATTTCCAAATACCCGAATTAAACGCATATGAGATTGTACTTTTCCTCATGTATGTCTGTGATGTCGTTACACGGCAGTCAGTTTTCATCAGAACATAAATATTTAAAGTCACGATTTCTCCTTTTCAATTTTCTTCATCTAGAAGGAGCTGGCCAACAACCCTGACTGTCCTCAGATGTGTGCCTATAAGCTGGTGACCATCAAATTCAAGTGGTGGGGACTGCAAAGCAAAGTAGAAAACTTCATTCAGAAGGTAAAGGCTGTTCAAAATGCAGTGACTTAAATTTAGGTAGCTTATTAATGGGAGATTTTGTTACCATTGCTTTTTCTCATTTATTAGGTAAAAGTTATTGTCCCTGTATAATTCCTCTCTGCCTTTCTTTTTTTTCTCCCTAGAAACAGCAAAGACAGATGCCAGCAGGTTTTAAAGGGCTTTCTTTTGAGAAGAGCATAGGAGTTTTTTGTTCAAAGTGCTTTCCCAATGGTTTGCCCAGCTGTTCCGTAGAGAGCCCTTTCCATATACAGCATGTCCCCCAGAGGACCTGGTATCCTGGCATTGGCTGGAGGGAGAGGCCAGGCCTTCCTTGCTGAAGGAAGCCCAGCTGGTCACCCACTCACCCCCTCCACGCATTCCTCTCTTGACATAAACTTTAACCCTTTGTTTTCTTTAGAAGTCCTTACTGAGAATAGTTATATTCTGAACCTAGGGCGGCAGAACCTGAGGATCCAGATTCTGATTACTTTTTTTTTATGTCTTCTTTATTAAAGTGAAAGTAACATGGACAGTTTGATCTAGAAAGAGCTGTAGAAATGGATACGCATGTTGTAAACACATAGGAAATATGGAGGGTTTCTTCGGTGTCTCCTTCTCCTGTAATGTGACTGTTTTTTCTGTTGTCATTATAAAGAAGCCCCTGTGGGACATCTCTGAACCCACAACTGCTCATGTCTGTTCCACCATAACTTTTCTACTTTTAAGCTGGAACTGCTCTGACATTTTTTTTAAAAGGGTCCTAATGTTCTGGAAACTGTGATTACTCTTGGGCCTGCTTGCAGCTGGCCCACGGTAGGCACTCTGTAAATATTGGCTTCCTTCCTTCCTCTTGGATCATAGTAATAGATTAACAATCTAGTTCGTCACACGTGTAATTGATGAAGTCCCTTCTGTTCATGGAAAAAAATTTTAGATTTGAAGATTGTCCAAAAGTATTAAAGTACTTACTGTTTAGTGTCTTTTCTCTCTTTTGGGGAAAGTTTAGTAAAATTTAAATAATGCAGCAATTAAAACCACTCATTTATGTACATGGTTATGTATATGTGTGTATATATATAGTGACAGTAAGATGGGAGTATAAAAATTGATGGAGAGTATGTAATAATTCTTGATTTAAGTAAGCATCTTATTCCATAGAACTCCAGATTCTTTTGTTTCAGTACACATCATATTCAACCTCAGTATTCCTTTGAATTGCAGAGACATTAGGAATGACTGTGTATAGTTTTATAGTAGAAGAAATCGAGTTGACCTTTGGTCACTGAGATTTAGAAAAAAAGTAAAAATAAACCAGATCTAGCAGGAGTTTATGTTGGAATAGAATGTGTGCGCCACATTTTTTTCAGTTCCTAATAAATTGTGCTACCTTTGCAAAGAAAAGATTGTTTCACATTTCACAGGGAGGTTTTTCTTTTTTTTTTTTTTTGTTTTACAGAATGATAATGGGATGGAACTAAGATGTACACTAATTGACAAAGTGATCTTTTCAAACCAAATATATGTAGATTGCATGGGTTATTGGAATGTAGAAAGTTAATATGTTATTAACCTTAGATTTTTGCTGTCTTACACTACTTTTCTTCTTTGTTTTAATAGCAAGAAAAAAGGATATTTACAAACTTTCATCGCCAACTTTTTTGTTGGATTGACAAATGGATCGATCTGACAATGGAAGACATTAGGAGAATGGAGGATGAAACTCAGAAAGAACTAGAGACAGTAAGACTTCGCCATTTGTGGGAATTCTCTCATTTCTCCTTTCTAAAACTGTGTGCATGCTTATAGTAAGTGTAGACTTAGGAATAAGAAGAGGGTCTTTAAAAGCTTTTTTTTAAATAATTACCCTCCTCAAAATCAGGCTTCTTAGACACTAACATCCCTTCACATGTTCTCATTCTCTTTTCTTGAGCAGCTTCTATGAAAGTAGCCTAGAGCTTTACTGATGTAGAGTTGGTTACCTGTTAAATGCCCAGTGGTTTCATATTCTTTGTCACACATTAGTTCTCTGTGATGGTACCTGGTTCATAGTCCTTTTAGGCACTCAGTTTATCAGACTAAATAGCCTTTGGCTCATTTTGTTGTCACCGTTCAGTTACTGATGCTAGTACTGTAAGTCCTACTTCCCTCTTAGGTAGAGAAGCCTAGCCATATTGTCACAGCTTCCCTCCCACAGCTAGCACTGAATCCTTAGCTCTTCATTTTTTTTTTTTTTTAAGATTTTATTTATTTAATCATGAGAGACACACAGGGAGAGAGGCAGAGGAACGTGGGACTTGATCCTGGGTCTCCAGGATCACACCCTGGGCTGAAGGTTGCACTAAACCGCTGAGCCACCCAGGCTGCCCTCCTTAGCTCTTCTTAAGCTTTAGGCAGGAACTGAGGTAATGCCTGGGCCAGGGATCAGCATGCCCTGTTTCACAGTTAAAGCCTACCCCAGTTCCCGCCCTGCATCTTGTGAGCGCCCCCTTTCTGCTAGGGATGGATTCTTCCCACTTCCTCTTAGAAGTGTCTGGTTTTGCTTTTGCTCTGGGCTACACTGCTTTTCAGTTGAAAGTAAGGCCATCCTGGGGGGAAGTGAACCCAAAGAATGTCCGGGATAGGCTAGTGGTTTCCATGCAGTCATCCAGAATCCCGCCAGCAGTCCCAGTTTTGGAAGCCGTGCAGGCGGGAGTATTTGACAAACGCCTGTGTGTGAGGCAGGACCTCCACTTAATCACAGGAGAATGGCAGCAAATCAGGTTCTTTGGCACAGAAGGAAACCTATTTGTCTGGCACACGGCATCATAAAGAATCTGTGTTTAAAATTGCTTACTTTTGGTGATTACGGCAGATCTGCTTCTAATTAGCTTTATACAAACCTTCTGAGAGAACTAGGACGTATTTTCTTTATAAGGCAATAAAATGTTTTAACCTTATCTTATACAGAAAGTAAACTTTCGGCAGTCTCTAACTTATGAATGGATTTTGTTCCAAAAGTTTTTAAGTTGATTTTTTGGAATTTGGGACATGTTTTACCATGGAGACAACATTATAAATTGGAGTTTGGTTTCTAGGCCAGACAATAGAAGTCTCTTTGACCTCTGTTTCTCATATTAACAGTATGATTCTGAGTTCTGGATCTTGGAAGTGTGGTGATAGAATTGCAAGCATGGAGGACTCTCCTTCACCCCCTTAGTTTTAGGCTGGCCCCTGATATTTAAACAAGCAAGAGTAAGTCGTGGGTACTTCCTCCTTTTTTTCCCCATGCCCCTTCTCCCACTTCTGTCTCTCCCTTTTCAGGAGTGCTTTGAGAATGCCCTTCTCAAAACACCCCTATTCCTACCCAGTGCTAGTCCCTTCTCCCCTGCCTTGCTTCGTTCTGCTCCCTCTAGGTGGTCTAGGCTCCAGAGACCTGCCAGCTGACTCCAGCCCCTCTGAACAGCTAGGCTCAGCTAAACATAGAAAAGAAGGCAGCATGATGATACTCATTCTCTGATACTAAACTCATGGCACAACTTTGGTATCTTCAAAAAAAGATTTACCAGTGCTGAGATAAAACAAAACATGCTTATTTTTCTTGATTTGAACTTGGAAGAAGGAGGTTTGCTTTTGCTTTTGCTTTTTATGCTAAGAGGACTGTCTATAGCATGAGGAAAAGAGGTCATAGTTGGAGGCTGACGGATGGAGCCCTCCCTAGTTTGAGCTCTGAACCCTGCCTACCTCTGGGCCCCTTGAACAGAACTTGGCTGTGACCTCTTCCCTCAGGAGAGTACCCTTCCTTCCCTCCGGGGTCCTCAGTCTCAGGGCACAGAGTATTCCCAGCATAAACACAGTGAGTGCCCCGACCAGGAGGTGGGGATGCTCTCTCCAATCTCTTGCCGCAGGCCTGCAGGTTCAGCTCCTTGCTTCTCCATGCACGTCCATAAGGTAGACAAGTAGTTACACAGGTAGTTACATAGAAGCCCCATTTATTAGAAGATGTCATTGGTGTACCTGCGTGGCTCAGATTGACTTCTCACATGACATTGGTAGAAATCTTTTGTTGGTTCAGAGTTTGGGATACATGGGAGTTTGTTAAATATTTCAAAAACATTTCAAGGCAGTTTCAGCATTCTCTGCTGATCATTGTAATGTAAAATTCATTTAAGTTATTTTGCTTTGGGTCATTGGGGAGTGCTTTATTCCACATCACATTGCTGCTGCTTTGAGCCCTAATAGTTGAATTGTGAGCATCTTCAGACTCTGGGCAGTAGTAGGCCAAAGCACCTACCCAGAAAGCACCTGCCTCTTGACAAGGCTTATGACTTATAAGTATTCACCACCACCCAGGGATTTCCCCTTTTCTTGAGGTCCTGTTGATAGAGTTTGATACATTGTAATTCTCTTCTTAGTTCGAAAATATTTTAAGATTTGGGTTTCTTTCAAAGGGGTTTTAGCCCTGGAGAAAAGGAGCAGCATCTTGAGAGCTTAGGCATGACAGGAATACCCCCACCTGGAATCCTGAAGAGAAATACGGGTTAGACTCAGATGCTAAGGAAGTACTGGGGGTAAACTCTCTGCCTATTTGTTCACAACTGGCACTTCTGGGGGTGGGGGAGAAGTGTTGAGGTCTAGAAATGTGTTTATTAACAATATCTGTTCCTTTTCTGACCATTCTTTTCTGATTTTCTCATTGAGTTTTTTTTAATCGTCTGTAGTCTACTGTTACTAATGCCTGTCCTTTCTGATGCATCTTTATGTCCTTTATTGTTTCTCATACGTTCCCCTGCTCACTTGTTCTTCCTTTTGTCCTTTCTCTTTTAAATGAACTTCCCATAAAGAACTCCTCTCAGACACTCTAGCGTCAGAAGCAGCAAAGGTCGCCACACCTGAAAATATAAGTCAGACTGTCAGGGCATTTCCTCACGTTGTATTAGTGAACAACAGTTCATTTACCCCTTGGCTGTCTTTGATAATTTCATATCATCAGTCTGCAGGCTTTTGTTTCCTGGATTCAAGAATAGATACACATTTTTTGTGCTGTTGTAAGAAAAGCCTCTTACAGGATTTTCCTTAGACCAGCATTACTAGAGAAGCCTCAGAATGTCAGTCTCAGTGTGGATGTGGTTATGAACAGGCAGCAGTCATTCACAATCTTTTCTGGATCTTTTTTCTGCCCTCACTTACTAACCCAATTTAGAGTCTGTGATTTCAGCAGCTCATGATTTTATTTTACGTTTAGATGCGTAAGAAGGGTTCCGTCCGAGGCACGTCGGCTGCTGATGTCTAGATGAGTCCCCTGTAGGGTCAGAGACAATATCAAACTGTGTAAGTGAAGACCCGGGTAAAAAGAATGTTTAAAAACCAATACCTTTGGTTAACGGGTAGTTAACTTGCTGAGCAGAGACTGTTAAATGTGGTTTAATTTTTAGAATTTAAAGAGGTACATATTTTAAAGATTGACATGGGACACTAAGCTATTATTCTGTAAGAGTTTTATCTGTAGAACAGGTTGAATTTAGTAAACTCCAGTTAGTTCTTAGTGTTAGAACCAGAAACCAACTGCCAGTCATGCTCATTCATCACGCAGTGTCCTAGAAGCCAGCTGATTCTTCGTTGATGACCAGTTAATTGACCTGTTTCTCAGTAGGACCATATATGGTTAGTAAAGAAATAAAAACATTTCAAACCAAACAGAGATCCTTCATCCCATATCAGAAGGGCCAGCCTTAGTGATTCATTGTGGTTGAAATTTTTTCTGAACATCTCAATGCCTTCCTTCATGTTGAATCTTCAGTTACCCTTGCAGTTAGCTTTAATATGTCTAAATATACCTTGGTTTTTACTATAAAACATTACTATGGCTTTATTTCCCTAACACAAATTTATATGCTCAGATAAGAGATTTTCCTCGAGGGAAAAAGAGCTGCAGAATCTACCCCACATGCCAAAGCCAGCATGAGTAAGCACAGAGGGATGGTCCACTGCCACCAGTTGTTCCTATTGCACCGCAGTGTGTATTGAGGAAAAGAACAAGACCGAACACTCCTCACTTGCTGTTCTTCTTGGTGTTCAAAGAGCACTTGGTTCTTTGCTGCCCCCTCAGTTGTGCTCCCTGCTCTTTATTCTCCAATTATGGAACGGGGGAGAAACAAGGTATTCAGGTGTGAACACAAGCAGTTGTACAAATAAGAATGAAGGAACTCTGCTAGGATTCCTCCAGAGCCCGCTCTTTAAATATAATGTTCATTAAAAAAAAAATTTTTTTAAGTTAACTTTTTTTAAGTTCTTCTAAGTTCTGTGACTTATTTCCACTTGCAATTAATTTATTTTCCCTCTGATGAAACAAAATGTTATGCCATTAGTGAGACCAAAATCTTCAAGAGAATAAACTCTTAAAATGGAGTAGTTGGGGTACGTTATCTGGCAAAAGTTTTGCCACATTGAGGGGTTTTTTTTCCTTTTCTGGAGAATGTATGTAGCGCAACGACATTTTTTGTGTGTCTCTGTGTTTTAACACATTGCCCTGTCTCTCACTTTCCTTACAGTTACGTAATCAAGGTCAAGTGAGGGGAACAAGTGCAGCCAGTGATGAGTGAAGAAGAATCTGACCAGTGTCTTGCAGTGTTGACGTTTCCCAGACGTGTGCTTGTGATGATGTACTCACACGCACAGGTTCCCAACCACGTGTGTATATATGTTTGTGTGTGTATATATCTGTAGCTGTATATAAAACGCATGTAGAGCTACAGATCAGAATACACACACTTGTGTATATATGTACATACAAACATACTGAAAGGATTAGTACAATTTCTCCAAAGTACTGTACCTATCTTCAGCAAGAATGCAAAAAGAAAATATTTTCAATATATATACCTGGAACAGATTTTAATAATTATCAGAGTAATACCATTATTGGACAAATTGACTGCAATGTAATACTAGCTGGTATGTTTCATAAATGTCAAATTGTGGACCAATATATATATATAGCCTTTTATTACTTTTCTTTTAAATCAGTCTCTTACAGATTTTTATTTTAGTCCCAAAAACAGACTCCCACAGAAAAATTTATTCAAAATCTTTTGGTATTCCAATGAATCTGAAATGTAAACTCTGAATGTATTTATAACGATTTATTTCTGGATGGTTATTATCTTAAATTCAAATTGGACACTGTCTATTAGGAAAGAATATAGTTACTGGCCAATTTTTACTTGTTTGCCCTGAGGGGGGAAAAATCCTTAAAAAAAAATTCTGATTTTTATTGGGATTTTGTATTTTAAATTTCAAGTATTTTTCTACATCAAACCTAGCAAAAAAAAAAGGAGATGACAGTTTGTGATTTATAATAAACACTATACAATTTTCAGGCTCCTGTTAGGCAAACAAAGAAATTGATGAAGAAATTCATAGCATTGTAGGCTGTAGGAAAACTTGGAAGTAGAGCACTTCCATGGAGTCTTGTTTCTGAAATGACTGTTTTCTGAAATTAGAGCTTGGAAACTATGCAAATGATCTAGATTCCTCACAGCTTACACGCTAGAATACAGATGATAGTGATGACTTTTTTTTCTTTCTTTCTTTCTTTCTTTCTTTCTTTCTTTCTTTCTTTCTTTTTTTTTTTTTTTTTTTTTTTTTTTTTTTTTTTGCTCTTTTCATATTAAAATACAGCCTGTGGGGGAGGCACTGCCTTTTTGAGATAGCAGGGAGGAATTAAAGCTGCAGCATCCAGCGCTGGCTGGTCTGCTTGCCTAGGAGGCCACACTGAGGAGCCAGTGCTGTGCCACCCACTGGTAGGTGCTCTCTAGTAGGATGCCATTGGAACCTGTCATGAGTAAGTGTCATGAACATGCTGGTTAGCAGCCGCTGCCACCTCGTCTCTCTTCTTCCTTCTTTAAGAAAGGAACCATAGCTGAGTTAAGATTTTTATCAGCTTTCTCTGTCCGAATCCAGTTTTTCTCCTGTCAGTCCTGGAAGCTTGGCCAGAGTGATCTTGTTGAAGCCTTCCCGTCACAAACTGTCTTGTTGAACCCCTCGTCCCTCCTGCAACACGCCGGCCCCTGTAGTCCTATCACATTTGTAATCTGATTTGCTGACAGCCTTGCCCGCCCTGCTCCCCGTTTTCCCACACACCCCGTGGCTCCACCGAGGTGGTGGCAGTGAGTCAGACAAGGGTGTGTAGGATCGCTGCCGCACCATGATGCCCTATTAGCCTTGGCTCCGAACCCCACACTGCATATGTCCTCCGTGTACTCAGGATCAAGACTGATGTTTACTCTCTGGGCGCTGTTGTAAGATAGGTGTTGTCAAAGCATAATCATTGTCTGCAAAATGTTTGGTGCAAGGAAGACTATTGCTAATTTTGTGAAATAAAGAGCCTCGCCCTCTCCTTTAATGGACTTAACTCTCACTGGCATCTGTAGCATCGTTGGGAGTGTGGGCGCCCATGGAAATCCATGCCCAGTGCACGGGTTCTAATGTTTTTCTAACAACTGTGGAGATTTGAGGGAATGCGTGGTGAATGTAAAATATCTAGTTTACTTGGCAGTCTCTTGTGTAAATTACAGTAAAACAAAGTAAATGAAATTGAAACAAAAAATAAATTTGATCACAAAATGCCACTTGTGTGCTTGAGTGGTGGTTTCCCCGATGCCACGTCTGGTTCAGCATACTGTGGACCACTTACTTCTCTGCCACTTTCTCAAGAATTCTGTTTGGCTCTGCTACTCTGGGAACAAGAAAGGAAAAACGTGGTTTTTGTAAATTTTTCACTCCAAACTCTTGTTCTTGAGATGTACCTATGCCATGTTAACCTGTTATGTTTGCTTTCTTAGATAATTTTCTGCCTTTAAAAGCTAAGCAGAAAACTAAAGAAGGGTTATTTAGTAGTCTCAGGGTTTTTTTAAAAATTCTGTTTCAAGGGGAAGAATATGGACAACCCATAGTATTTCTAGAAGCACTCAGTAGGGATTTTGTCATCAGCCTCTGACTCAAGATGGTAGTTTTTCAGTTTAGGGCAGCGTTTCATTCACCTCTCATTGCCTTTTCCGCTCCCCTGTGTTCAGACACCTCACAGCACTTTTCTCATGGTCCTGTCTTACATTCTAGAGCTGCTCAGCATTGGGAGAGGTGGCCGGATACACGGTTGGATGCATGTTTTATTTCTGGGCGCTCCTTTGTTTCCTGAGGTGATTTCCTCAGTGTTTTATCTCTTAGTGTCTGCATTTGCAGGGCCAGCCTGTCATTCGGGATGCTGAGCAGCAAGGCTCCATTCTCTGGTCTCCCCGAAGGCACTGAGATGAATCAGAGCAGCACACAGTCCAGCATGGGAGACAGACACATGCACAAAAGAACTCCAGTTCAGTAGGACAGTACGAGGGAGAGCTTAGACGTCATCGTGCAGATGCGAAAGCAAATGTTTAAGCAGCTGGGCAGGGCAGTGGAGACCTGAGGAGGCTGGGGTGCTGCTCTTGGGCCGGCACTGCAGTGGGGCCAGGCGCACCTTCTGGCCTCTCCCGGAGCCCTGGAGTGCCTGGCTGCCGTGTTGAGGGTCAGTCGAGCCCTGAGCATAGAGACCCGAGCCTACCTTGCGCCCCTTTCAGTGCAATCTCTCCCTCCTATTCCATTTATTTACCAGACTGCCTCCTAATGGATCTAAAATCACTGGGGACCCAACACTTGGTTTTTATAAAGCTCCCCCTTACCCCCCCATGTTTCCAGCTTGCTAAGCTGCAGTGCCACAGCCCCACCTCCTCACGTCTCCTCTCTGAGGAAGGAAGAGACACAGTCGTTCTGTCCCTGTCCCCTCAGCAGCTGCATCGACAAGGCGTCCACATGGAATTCCCTGTTCTTGACCACTTGGAAGGAGAACATTCTGCCTTTCTCAGACCCCCCGGTCCAACATCCTGAGAGACGCTGAATGTTATGGGTGTTTTACGACTTTTAGGATTTTTCAAGCTGCTCTCACTGGCGGTTGTAGAGTTTGGGACTTGGAGTGGTTGGGAGAGAGGGAATGTGCTAGGAGACCGGTCGAAGATTATCCCGCTGGGCTTGGAGCATCCACTGCCCACAGGGAGTGCTTGCTTCCCAGCAACCCTGCCAGGGTCACTTGAGGTTATCTCTTCTGACTTGGAAATATTAAGCAACAGCAGGTCTTTTCAAAACCAGTTCTTCAACCAGATTGGATTGGGAAAAGCAGAAATGGCAGATACTCCAAAGCTGCCTCTCACGAGGCCATGTCATCCGAGGCCACGCCAGGCATTTGAAGCCATGCTTAGCAGTTGGAGGCACCTGATGCTTTGATCCCCATCCCTTTTTTCCTTCTGAAAGTGCCACATTGCCAGCTTTAAAGGGATCGAGAACTAACTCTGTTTGCTTCCCCAACTCCTTCGAGGTCGCTTGCACTCCCACAGGAGCAGGGAAGGTGATTACTGTGGAGAACCACTGCTTCCTGACGTCTCCATACATTTCTCCTCCATCCAGTTAAATCACAAATTAAAATCCATCCCTGGATGACTCTCCCCGGGCACCCGAGGGGCTCTCATCTCTTGAGTGTTCCATCCTGCTAGGGCTATTGGTTCGAAAAATAAAGTGCACATACACCAGAGGTTCTCAGCTCTGGGAGCACCTTACAGTCACATGGGGGAGCCTTTAAAAGTATCATCTGTCCACCAGTTGCCTTTCTGTGGCTTGGGGTCAGTGGGCCCTGCTTTCAGAGGACAGGGAAAGAGCCCAGAGAATTGCCCACCGTCTTCCTAGGAGATCACTGAGAAGACCACTTTGTCTCCAAGCAGTCAGACTCCTTGTTTTATAAAGCCAAGTGCCGCTTGCTCCATGTGGCCAGCCTTAACCTGGCCTGGCCATCTGCAGCAGTCCGCACCCCTCATTTGGCACCTGTGGACTCCACACTGCCTTAACAGATTAATCGATGCTGTCATCTTCTGTGTCCATGTTTTGCATCCCAGGTTATCTTGGGACCTCCTCGTGGGCAGGAGCCGCAGTTGTTTCCACCCCCTACCCCAGTCGCCTCCCTGATGGGAACTTGGACTCTGAAACTGCTCTCATTGCCTATGGTGCTGTCTGCCCGCCCTGTACAAGGCCCCGTTTGAGTCCTGGGGTCAGAGGGAAGGGGAGTAGAGCCCCCATATCAGTAAGATCTGATGTCTGCCCTTAGAGAATTAAAGCCTGACAACGAGATGGCAACAGGATGTAGTAATTCTGGAAGCTGACGGTGAGAGGACAGAGGAGGGAGCTCCAGGTCCGCATTTCCTCCTCTCCAGACATCTAAACTGGAGCTTTTGTAGGCTCTTCCAACTCCAGGAGTCTCAAACCGGATTCACGTCTTTCCTCCTTCCCCCAGACGTCCTGACTTCCATCAGTTACCTGCATCACTGGCTGCACTGGCAAAGTCAGGAAGCCTGGCGAGTCACCGAGTCTCAACAGTGCCTGCAAATGCCTGTGATATCATATCCCAGCCCCCTCTAATGGCCTGGTCCAAGCCATCCTGTCATCTAGGGCAGTGGCCCGCCAACTTCCATAAAAGGCTAGACAGTAAATATTTTAGGCTTTCTGGGCCATGAGGTGTGTCACAGCTATTCACCTCTGCCCTTGTAATGCAAAATCAGCCATAGATGGTATGTAAACAAAGTGTGTCTGTTCTGATAAAACTTTATTTACACACATAGGTGGTGGGCTGGATTTAGCTGCTGAGGCCATAATTTACCAAACTCTGGAGAGAGTATAGAGCACGGATAACCTCAATCAGGCTGTACCAGAGTGACTTTCTAGAATACCCCTGATCATGCTGCACCCCTGCTTGAACACACTTGCATGGCTTCCTGAGGCCCAGAAGGCTAGTGCAGCCAAGGCCAGTGACCAGCGAGAGCCTCCTGCTGTGAAGTAGAGCCAGCGATGCTTGTCTACCTCCTGGCCGTTGGATGGTCAGGCATGGGTGGAAGGGACTGAGCCGATGTCTGCTGTGCGTGGTGAGGATGCTGTCCATAGAAAGCGCTCAGCATAAGAAGACAGTTGCTGTTGTTTGCCATCAGATTCCCAACCAATACCAACCAAAAGTTGAAGGGTAGAGCTGTGATGTGCTAACAAAAGCTGTTGGTGTCTGAAATACAATGAAGATAATGCTGGTTAGCTAAACTTCTCAACTGGCATGTGTTACTTCCCTGTCTGTCGTCTGTTGTCCAGAAAATACCATCTGTGGCTGTTGTACTGAATGCTGTACTCATGGAAAAGCTCATAGATGCCCTACATGTTTTCCATGATTGAAATTTGGCTCTCTCAATACCACTGCTAACAGGTTGACCTGAGCTTGGCTTCGTGACTCCTGGTGGGGCACGGTAAAGCCAGCCCTTTGCCTAGAAAACCAGCCCCGCTTCCCAGAGTCCGTGACACTCAACCCTGGGTCGACTCTGTTTACTCCTTGAATTTCTGAGAAGCAGTAAAGCACCGTGACATGCCTCCGCCTCGTTGATCCCTTATATATTCTGACACAACCTGCTAATCAGTCGATAGCAGAATTGCCCTGCACTCCAGACTGAGGGAGGTTCATGGAGTGGAACGGAGGAGTGGCTTACAGTGTTTATTAATGTATGTGCTAAACAAAAGCTTCGCCTCTAGGCATCCCATTGCACACTGGCTCCCTGCAGCCTGGAATACTGATGGCATGCTCTCTCAGAGCTGACTCCATTTTCCCATGGCCTGGGAAGCCCTGTCAGCTACCAGGAGGTTCTGTGAGTGTTTTGTAGCCATCACTCCAAAATGTCATTCCCAGAGCGGCACTGTGTAGGACAAGAGACTTCTCCCAAGTGAGGCTGGAGGGAGGCTTAGCATCAGGCTCAGAACAGTCACGCATAGACATTGCACGAGCCCTTCATTCTTCTCTTTAGCTGAGGGGGCGGCAAACTTTCTCTGTAAAGGGCCATATAGCAAATATTTTGGGCTTTGTGGGCCATGCAGACTGTTGCAACTACTCCGTTCTGCCTTTGTAGCATGAAAGTAGCCTTAGACATAAGGTAAACGAATGAGCGTGGTGATGTTCCAATAAAACTTTATTTACACAAACAGGTGGTGGGCTGGATTGGGCCCAAGGACCATAGTTTGCCAATCCCTCCTCTAGATTCTTCCCCCCTAAAAACAGCCAACACTTAAGAGTGTGTCATTCGTTGTTCTAAGCACAACCCGTAAACGGCCTCATTGAATTTTTATGACCACCCTGTGATGAAGGCACTGCTATTGCCTCCCTTTCTAGAGATGGGGAAACAGAGGCCCAGACCAGTGTAATGTTGCCGTGTCCCGTTACCGAAAGCGGCAGAGCCAGGGAGTCACACCGGAGTCACTCATGACCACTGCCAATCCCGCCTCCCTGTCTTCTAGGGTCGCTGTGGCCCATGCCTGTGGCATTTACCAAGGGTCGAAGGAGGGAGCAGCCCTAATGATAAAAATCCTATCGAGGACCCTTTGTTCTTAAACACAACTTAGGAGCAACCTTCCATGACTGATTCTTCCCAGAGCCCAGAGCCAAGAAAACATTTTTTTTCCTAGACAGTGTCGGATTTCCCCCCTCAGTCTTTGGTGTCAGGCAGCTCCCATGTTGCATTTTATGTCCAAC